GTACAGCTCAAGCCAGAAATGAGTTTTGATATCATCGATATATAAATATTTCTTTTAAAATTCTGTTTCCATTTTTATATAACTATAGAACGAAATTAAAAACGGGTATTCGCAATCATATCGTTAATATTGATAATAAAGATAAAAAATTCAATAAACATTTATTTTTTTTTATATAATATAATATATGGTAGATTAAAATATTCGAGATTTATATATTATTATTATTAATGTCTGTAATTAATACTGTAATATACATGCATAATAATTTATATTAATAATACAATACATATTGATTCTTCTCCTCATTCATATTTTTATATACAGAGAAAAACATTTGTTTAGACTTAATAAATTTTCATTATTAATTTCACAATTTTTGTAAAACCGCAGCTCTATGTAATTTATATTACGTAATAAATTAGACTGTAGCAACTTAAATTACACATTAAATTAAAGTACACATTATTATGAAAGCTAAATCAGTTCTTAAAAAACACAAGTACACGAAATAATAATGATAAAATTGATAAGATATTTGTTGACATTTTTATCAGAAACGAGAGAAGAATGATTTTTCGGGAACCTAATCAATTATTCAGAAAGGAAGAAAGACGTAACAGTCAATGTTTATTATTTTAGTCATTTAACTTATTTAAAACAAAATGAAAGATAGAAATTCCAAATTAATTAATAAAGCAAGATACAAAATGTTCAAATTTTTAACGCATCTATCATATAAAAATTAACATGACAAATTAATAACAACAATCTACATCAATGTCCACAAAAATTAAATAAATATCTCAACTTAGCACAACTTAAACTACTAGTAATATTTATATCTTAGGTAAGTTTCAAATATTTTTCTCTCTTTTGACCTCTTTCAAAAGTGAAATATTATTGTATGTCATCATAACATATTTAGTAATATACGCTCAGAGATATTGTGCAGAAGCAATGGAAGGAATACAATATTCAATGTGGGAACATTATACTAAAATAAGTGACAATAAAATAAAGTGTAATCATTGTAATCAAATTTATAAAAGCACATATATACAAACGAAAATGAAAGTACATTTATGTAAGCATAACATAAATATTTACGATGATTTAGTGTGGAAAAATACGAAAAGTAAATCTAACTTAATATGGCAATATTACACAAAAAAAGAAAATTACACTGCAATATGCAATATTTGTAAAACATTGATAAAACATGTTTATAATTTAATATGTTTAAAAACTCATTTTTTAAGAAAACATCAAGAAGAAGTAACAAAAATACAAAAACTAATTTCAAACAGTTGGTTATCATCGCATTTCGCAGACATAAAAGATTGTATGGCAAGATGCATTCATTGCGATCGCAAATTAGATATATTAATTGGAATAGATCTTTTAGCGAATCACTTACATATGTTTCATGATATAAATGAGAATTCAAGAAATGGTAACAAAATTGTAAAGAATAATGTGGATATATTACCATCGTTGAAACGTTCGTGGGCGTGGCAACATTATACATCAATAAGCAAAAGTGAAATAAAATGTAATCATTGTAATAAAATTTATAAAGGTTTACACATTACATCAAATAGGAAACAACATTTATATAATTTTCATAAAATATCAAACAACAACGAGTGGAAAAATTTCAAAACAACTCACAACTTGGTATGGCAATATTTCACTAAAGAAGAAGGATATACCGCAAAATGTACTATTTGCAACCAGCTGATAAAAAGTGCATCCCATGTGACATGTTTGAAATCTCATTTGACAAGCAAACATAAACAGGAAGTAATAAATATACAAGAAACGATTAAACGTGCTTGGTTAATACGACATTTTGCTATCAATAATGATAGTCATACGATAAAATGCATTCACTGCAAGCGCAAATTGACGATATTTCTGGGAATAAATGGCTTAGAAAATCATTTACTAACGTTCCACGGTATAAATGACAGTACGCAAACTGAAAGACAAAATGAAGAAAATGGTGCAGACATAATGATGCCGCAATTAGTAAATGACAAAAGCAGCGCAAATGCAAGTTCTCATCAGAATGATTGCGCGCAAGCTATGGAAAATAAGAAAAGACAACGGTAAATCTTATGAATAGTATAAATTCATCTTTTAAAAATAACTTACAAACATACAATTTATATACATGTATTATGTATTTTAAAAGCTTGATACTTTTTATTTGTTTACCATAATTTTTATATAAACTTTAATCAATAATTCAACATGCATGTTTTATAAATATATAATGTAAAAAAATATCTGCATTAAACCAAATTATTATAGAAACTTGTTAATTAAGATTTGCAATTATTTAATTAATATTTAAATCGTAATAATCATAATAACTTATATCGTAATAAATTGATTTACAAATTATATCTGCCAATCAATTCATACTGTTGAAATGAGTTAATTATTACAGTTAACATGTATTATATATTGTTATTAATTATTCTATATTGCAGACTTTATTATGAATCAATTCAAGATCAGCCAATAATGCAGATGAATACTTTGGAACAGATGTTGCGATCTGATAAAACATTAAATAATGACAATTTAACTGCAGATGCTTTAATATCTCAAGATATAAGTAAATGTTTAAAACCTGATGAAGAAACTGGAAGAAATATCGTAAGTTTACGGATGCAATATATGACAAATGAATCGAATATTGCAAGTTCAAAAGTTTATCAAGAAGTATATCTGCGAGACACATCCAGTGAAGAAGATCGATGGTAAAAATTCTATATGTCATTGTTTTATCTTTCATATGTAATTCTTACATAACAAATTAATATAATATATGTAATTATGTAAATTAAAAATTGTATATTTGTTGTTCGTTTACTGACATTTTTGTTAATACTTTACTTAGATATTTTGTATGCGTGTTTTATTTACAAACGCTTTGGATATTATAATCATTAATTTTATTATTAAAAATGGTTATTTAAAGAAGGCTATAATAAATTTTCTTAATTTTGCAACTATCTATTCTATAACTAAATATTTTAATTCAGCAGAAATTGTTATATTTGAGTGATATTTCAAATATTCTCAAATTCGAACAACATTAAAGTAGACGATCAAACCTATAAATAATAGAATTTAATTTCAAATAAATTATCGAGTAATTCACATAGTTAATATATATCTTAATTGTTTTCAATGGTAATAAAAGCGTAACTCTAGAATGTAGTGTTTTATTTTTTTATTTATTTATATTTATTTATATATAATTAAAGGTTCCATTATAGAGTGGTTTGGAATCAGCAAACGATGACAAGTGCTTCTCAGCAGACATTGCAAACTCATAATGCAACAAATATTGAAGTTTGTCCTTATGGCTATTTAGCATTTTCTGATACAAATAGGTATTCAAAATCTGATGAAGAAACTCGAAGAACTGCCAATATGGCAGTGCAATTCTCGGTTAATGGAAAGAATAACACATGTTCTTATCAGGAGAATTCGCATTTGCCAATCATAGGAAATGAAAGAAGTCAATGGTAAATGTAGACTATACATTCAAATTTTCAGTATTTGAAGAATAATATATACAAATTTCAATAAAATCAAATATTTCCTAAAATTAAAATGTAATTTTATTTTTAATTTTTATTACATTATTACATTTATTCTATAAATTTGCATTTAATTGCAGGTTATATTATAAAGCAATTGAAGACTTGCAAACATTCATGCTGAAGTCTTCAAAACAGGTGATAGCACATCAATTAATTAGTAACACATCAAACCATTATCATTTTCCAGATACCTTCACATTTCATAATATATATGAGTATTCAAGATCTCAGACAAGTATTAGAGAAAATCCAACGAATATATTCTTCAGCACATAAAAGATAATTCAAGTACATACTTTTTTCAAGATGGCGCGATATTTGCAAATTGCAGAAAGTGAAAGAAGTCAATGGTAAAAATTGCAAATATTATCTTTATCAAGTGATATACACACATATATATATATATATAATTTAAAGCAATTTTATATTTTGTGTTATTCACTTATATAGTTATACTATTCTTTCACTTGAATTTATATGAATTTTAAGTTGTATTACAGTTTGATATCAACAATGACGATTATTTCGAAAGAGATAATAATAGTAATAGTAATAATATTAGTAATGAAAGTTTTGTTTTAGACTTTTTATCCACATAGCACATAATGTTATGAAAATTTTACCCATAATATCACACTGAAAATATAACGTATTATCTATTTTGTAATATTGTAAAATATTGTAAAAATATTTCTAATATATTGCATTATTGGTATTATCTTATTGTATAAATCTTCTCATTACTTCAAAGATTATATTAACATAATAAAAATTATCTTTTTAAGATATTATTTTCATTAATATTGTTTTATCACAAATATATTACAAATACGTAATTATATAATAATAATTATATTATTAAATAATGATTATTATGATAATATAAATTTATTAATATCTTTGTTTGTTTTGAAACAATATTTAACTGAAGTAATATTTTAACAAGATAATCTTCATTATATATATTGTATATGTATGTACTTCGTATTTCATGTGATAATTCCTTGAGGAGTTATAAATAATGCAACTGCTATATATTTATAATGTGAAGATATGTAAATTGATTTAATTTCTCGTTACAATGTTACAATAATACAATTGTGATATGTCACCATCATGTTATAACTTATTTGGGCAGGCATTTTAATATTCCTGTAATATCTTTGTAATATTTTAGCAAATTCATGCTATTATAGTATGATCCTATGAAGAATGATATTGTTGTGATTGCTATTATATTATGTGTTATATGGGTAATATAATATGTAATTAAGAAGACTAGTATACTTAAAAACTAATGAAAGGACTATTTGTTCTAACTAAATTTGACATAATCGAATTATAGTCGAAATATAGTCGATTATTCTCCTCACATTCGATTGTAATTAACCAACATCTTACGGTTAAAGTTTTAAATAATACTTATTGTAGATTGTACCTATAATTTATTAGTAGATTGGGTTTTAAGCTAATATTGTCATAACAAATTTCTTGAACATATTAATTAAGTATAAAATAATAAATTTTTCAAATCTCCAGAAATTTTCCATCTTATCTTAATCTTAATCAATCAAAAAATTAAAATTAAAAACCAAAATAAAACAAAAAAGAAAATCAAAATAAGTCAAAGTTGTATAACACCTCATAAATTCAAAATGTATTTATTTGATAGTATATAATGCGAATATTATTTATAATATTAACATTATCATAAATTTATGTACAGTCCATAAGAGAATTAAATATTTTATAAAATATATACATATGTACGTGTGTGTGTGTATGTGTATGTGTGTGTGTACACACAACACTCCAATCTTTCCTCTAATAATTTTTCTTCCATTCCTAAGCTGAATTTAATTCAAGACCTACTTCGGGATCTAATGTGGATTTCTTAAATCTTTTTGTCGAATTTTCTGAAAAGAAATTAAAAATAAAATTTTCAATATCATACGATTTTCTATTATATTAGTAATATAAATGACTTTTTAATAGATGTAAAAATAAATTACCTTGGTAGAAGTATTTTGTGGCACGTTTTCGAATATCTTCAATATTATCCTCCATTTGCGCCCATTCAAGTACACATCTACGACCGTATAGATGTGTACTTTGACACAGAGCTTTAAATGCTTTCTACAAAAAAATATAGATTATAATAGATTTAAAAAATATAAATTAAAATTAACATAAAAATAATAAAATAGTTATTATGATAATTCTTAGATAAGTTATATAATGTTTAGATAATGTTAGATAATGTTTAGATAAGCTATATTAACTTTAGTAAGTGGAAAATTAAATTCTTCAGATATTAGATATGCATCATTTACCTTTGCATCTGTTTTAGTATAATATTCAATGAAGGCAAATCCTCTGTGTTTTTCAGTGCCAACTAATTTTTTCGGCAATCGTACGGCCTTCAACTCACCATACGATCTGCAAAATAACAATTATGTTGGATTATATGTTATATAAATATATGATAAAATATATGTACATACTTGAATAATTCCGTCACTTCCTGAAGAGTTGCTTGAAAAGGTATATTTCGTACTAAAATTTTGGTTCCAGTTTGTTCGGTGATTTTAGCCTTCTTTCTCGTTGTTTTGACATCAGACCTGAAACATCTCATAATTATAAAAAAATTCTTTGTATTTTAATAAAATAAATTACAAATAACATACATTAAAGTTCTCTCAGATCGTTTCAATTCCAAACTCTTCCCATCAAGAACCGACATCTGTAATGTTTTTAATGCACGATCTGCGTCAAGCTTTCTTTTATATCTAACAAATCCATATCCCATAGACAGTTTTTTAGCGGGATTTTCCGGATCTTTTTTAGTCGCTATTGTGACATAATGGAGAGGACCGCATTTACCAAAATACTAAAAATATAAAAATCTATTATTACAAAGAAAGCAATAATGCAAAGAAAGCAACAATAATAATTTTTAATTACATCTTTCAACTGTTCTTCTGTAGTTGAAAAATTGATATTTTTTACAAAAAGTGTTGTGTCTGATTCAGGTGGTTCGTTATTTTCATTATTACGTATATTATTTCCTACGTTATTATTACGTATATTATTGTCTTCAGATTCTTTTGTTGTTACGCCCTCTTTAACTTCTAAACTTGCAGATTTCTTTTTATTTTTTTCAGCGTCAGTCTTAGATACAGGAATAGTAAAACTGTTATCTGGCGCCCACTCCAAATACAAAGGTAAATGTTTGTATCTTTTGTAAACCAACGCATGGAAAGCTTTACGTGCTTCCGATGGCTCCAGAAATTCAACTAATGCTGTTATGCCTGCCGGTGGCATTACAATACGCGCAAGTTCACCATGCTTGACAAACATTTCTCGGAGTTCGCTTGGTTTTGTTTCAGCTGGTAAATTTTTCACTAAAATTATAGTATTTGATCTTTTCTTTGGTTCTTGATTAAATGCATCCAAACATACGCCATTTTCCTCTAAAAAGGCTTTTGTATCTTGCACCAATTGTGTTTCTCCTAATGCTAATTTTACTGCGGCGCTCATACCACCAGTCGAGCCATCTTCCAACAATTTTTCTTTTGTCGTATTGTAGCGTTTTGCGACAGCATCTGCCACAGCATTTTGACCAAGAAATAAGGTGTTCCAATTATGTGATAAACCTGCGGTCGTCTTGTTCTGCAATTCCTTCTTTTGTTTATAAGTTAAATTTTCTGTATTTTCCAAGGAAGCTTTCATTTTTCCGGGAAGAATATGTAACATTCTACCATCTAATACAGAACCATCCAACTCGTTGTAAGCTTTTACAGCATGTTCTGGCATCAGAAATGTTATTGTGCCAAATCCTTTTGGTTTTCTAGTCACTTTATCAATAGGTAAATTCACTTCTGATAAAGGACCATATTTCTCGAATAGTTTTCTGATATCATCCTCCGTAGTTGTATATGTCAAATTTCTAATAAACATTCTTCCAGATTCTGCTATACTCTCTTCATCTTGTAAAGCCTCTTCTTGTTTCTTCCATTTAATATTAATCTCATTACATACATCTTTATCAGATTTAATTTCTTCTTTTTGTTCATATTTGGACACAAATATTTGTTTCCCATCTGTATAAATAAAAAATACATTTAAATAAAAGCTAAATACTTTACGTCATACTTAATTTCTTTTACCTAAAAAACTTTTGTTTTTCATAAGAGCTTTCTTCATGATTTGTTCTGTTTTGAATCCCACGTAAGCTATACCTTTAATTTTCGGTGGGATTCGTATAGATTTTGATTTTATAGGATGAAAGAATTGTTTGATATGTTTTTTCGTATGTTTATATGCAAGTCCTCGTAGTTTTACAGTATAGAATGTTAATGGACCATGCTTTGATACATTTTTTGTCAGATATTTTATTCCACTTTTATGTAACCAATCAGGTTTATCCTTACTACTTGAGGATACTACTTTTTCTAAAATAACATACCCATATTATATTTTCTCTTACTTTATAAGAAATACAAATTGCAATACTTGAAATAAAATATTAAAAAAAAATATTTAAAAAAAGAATATATCAACTAGAACTCACAGAGTACTGGTTCGATTAAATATTATATTTATTAAGTTTAGTTTGAATTTTATTAAAAATGAAAAATTTTTATTAAAAAATATAATTCACAAAAAATAAAAAAAATTTCACCTTTATTTTCTTTAGATTCAGAATCTTCTTCATTCTGAGACTTGTCATCTTGAGACTCCTCATTAATTTCCATTGGTACATCATTATTATTTTTTCTGAAAATTGCTTCTATATTTTTACCAGTATGTTTTTCAAGAAATTCCATAAATTGAGGATCATCCTTGTGCTAAATCCA